CACTGTGACCGTGATCGAAGTGATGGCCATTACGGTCACCACGACAATCCCCCCCAAACTATTTGTCCCCCCCCCCCCAAACTATTTGATTCAACGGCTTGTTCTCAAATTTAAAACTTTTTCTCAATTCCTTATTTGAACATCTCCTCAATGGTTTTAAAATTCACACTTTCTCTCAACCTATTGATAAGTCATTTTTGGGTTAGTTCTTTTTATTCTTTTTTAGGCATTTTTAATTTTTTTAGAATTTAATTTTTAGTTGTTTAGCTTAGTTTTATTTTAATTCTTATTTTTAAATTCTTTTTATTTTCTTTCAAAAATATTATCTTTTTAATCATTTTTACATTATATTATTTTTATTTTATTTTTCCTAACCCAAATTATCAGATATCTTATTTTTGGAGAAAATTGCAGCAAAAGGCCGAATTGAAGTTCAAGTTTGAAATGAAGAGATTGATTTTGGGCCAAAGCCCAGAACAAACATAATAGAGAATCAGCCCACCAAGCATCTCACTTTGTCTTCACGCAAGAAAAAGTGAGAATTGAAGTCTACGACTTCTTCTTCTTCGCGATAAACCAGCGCCCAGCTTCTTCAACGCTCCTCCGTCAGTTTCGCCTCAATCAATAGCAACGGCACTCTCTACTCACTCAAATCTACAACGGTAAACAATCCTCTTGCTATAAATTGATGATGATTAAAGCTTCAGAGGAGGGGAGGGGACAACGAAGGGGGAATACACACAAAGAATAAAACAATAATAAAGCAGCGGCTTGGCCGCTGCTATGGTGGTCGCCGGCGCGGTGGCCGGCAGTCGACGATGACCGGCGTGGCAGCAGCTCCGGCGGTGACAAGCCAGCAATGGTTCCTCCAGCTCCAACTTCTTCAATTTCTTCATCTTCTTCAACATTTGGTAACTAATTTTTTTTTTGTTCTCCATTTCTATGTAAAAGTTTGTTTTTTGTTCAATTTTTACAAGTTTGTTTCCTTGTTGTGTTTATTTCATAAAATTCCAAAAATGGTTGGTGTTCTTCTTTTAGTTTTTTTTATGTTTATATTAAATCCCTTATGAATGAGAATTGATTCAAACTAGTTTTCTTCAATTATTGAGCAAGTTGTTGTTGAATTGGTTGAATTGTATAATTTGATTTCATAAGTAGGTTGGTACGTGGAATTCGGTTTTTGTTGAAACTATTTTAGCTCCATAAGGTAGTTAAATGAACTCCGAATTCATACGTGAATCTTTTTTGTGATTTGTGTTTGTTGATTTTAAGGAATTTGGACTTCTTAGCCCCATAAGTTGATTCATTTTTCTTAGAATTCGTTATTGAGTGATTGTGTGTTTTCTCGTATTTTTGTTCGTTATTTTCATAAAATTAAGGTTGTTTAAGCTCAAAAACAATTCTCGATTTATTGAAAATATGTTGTGTTCATCTATGTGAATAGAAAAAACGTCATTGGTTTGAGAAGTTCATGGAAATCTGTGGAATGTGCTCATCGTTAGGAGAAAAAGTTTGTTAAAATGCATAAGGTATTGGCGGTTTGTGAATAGATTATGTATGAGAGTTGAATGCATAATAGATTCTCTCTTTTATAAATTTTTTCTATAGTGGAAGTATGTTCTCGTGCTTGAATAGAGAGTTGGGGTTCTAAGGTATATTTCAAAACGGGCCTTTCAATTGCATGACTCCGGGCCGTGTGGAGAGTTGACAATCCTCCATATCGTGGTTAAGGAAATGAATCGACTCGGCCTTTGATTGATTTTTTCTATTCTTAAGTGCGTAAGTTACGTAATATATTGTCTACGTGCTTATTATACGTGTAATGTTTGATTTGTGTTCGTTCTCTTTTTCATTTTGTTTCGGGTTCTTGGTGGTGTTTTTTTGGGTTTACTTTAGTTGGAGAAGTTGATTATCTTTTGAGCTTGTTCCCCCCATTTAATCAAAAAACCAAAAAAATAAGAAAATATAAAAAACCAAAAAATATTTACTTTTTATTCAAACCCCCCCCTTTGTGTTGTGTTTAAGTTATATTATAAGTTCTTTGTTTATATAAGTTATATTTATAAGTTTTTAAATTTATTTAGTTATAAGTTTTAATTAAAAGTTTTTTATAAGTCTTATCATATGTGTAGTAGTTAGTTTTATTTTTATATTTATTTTCGTGACAACGTATTCGCATGCTAAAATGGTTTTAAAAAATACAAACTTTCTCCGTGGGATCGACCCTTACTTGCCCTAGCTATAGTTTTTATTTGATTATATCTTGGGGGTTAGTTAGGGATATTTATAAATTTTTAATTTGTTTTGGACCCTACGACAAGTCGCCAACACCTATTCATATTCAAATTCTTCTCGTCTCTCTAAAAATTTTCAAAAAAAATCATATTATGGATCCTAACTCTTTGCAATTCATCAAGTTGCAACGCTAATTTTAATAAATACTCAACAGTTTCCGGGAACAGTTTGACTGACACCCGTCTCAGGGAACGATGTTGAGAGTGTTCCCGAAACTCCACCATGACCGCCTTTAACGAATTGCAATCATACAAAACTCGGCAGAAAAGTCAAGCTGATATGGAGGTACTCCACCTAGAGCGCGAACATAATGAATACAAAGGATACGAGATTCAGATAGCGCACGACTATACTAAAAATATAATGATGATAAGATTAGCCTAAAGTGTCTTAGAAGTGTGGTAGACAACTTGGTCAGCGACCTTTGATTTTTATTAATTAAGTTGTCATTTTTTATTTTCAATTTAGTACTGTATCACTCTTATTTCTTTTTTTCGCATTATGTCAATGTAATTTTAAATTTGAATTTTAATGAAATATTTATTTAATCTTTTTCTTTTAAATGAGAGATTTAGCGCAACAACTATGGTGGTACGAAGAATTGAGAATAAAACAAGATAAACTCATAATAGATCTACTCTCTCCGTTTCACAAAACCCTTCCTCTTTCGTTTTTTTTTGTTTTCCACAAAACACTTCCACTTTCTATTAAAAAACCACTTTTACCCCTACTTTTTCATACCCTACCTATCACATCATACTTTATCACTAATAACCAAACTATCACATCTTACTTTTTCCCATCACATCAGGGGCAAAATTGGAAAGTCAACTAAAATTATACTTTCCTTATTTTTTTCCAAATTCAAAACCGGAAGGGTTTTGTGGAACGGAGGGAGTACTATTTAGTAATTCTTGTACTAATAATGAAGGATAAGGTTAGCCCGAAGTGTCTTGGAAGTGTGGTAGAAAACTTGGCTGGTGACTTTTGATTTTTTTAATCAAGTTTTTGTTTTTAATTTTCAATCTAGTACTGCATTATCGCTCTTATTTTCGATGTAGTTTTAAATTTGAATTTTAATGAACTATTTATTTAATCTTTTTCTTTTTAGTGATTGGATTTAGCCCAAAAAATATGACAGCACAAAGAATTGAGATTAGAACAAGATAAACTCATAATAGATATCCTACTCAGGTATTTAGTAAATGTTGTATTAGCTTGGTTTATAATGAGGGATTCATACTCTATTTATAGTCTAATGCTATCGTGTACATGGTAAGTCCAACGTGTGTAGTATTATAGGAAAGACTGGTCGATCGTGCATTCATTATGGGCGAGAAAGCCTTCATCGATCCCCTCCAAATCCCCACGATCAAGGAAATTGCGCTTCACGCGTTTCTCTTTTTTTAGCTCTTCGGGCTGGGCTCAGTCCATGACTCTATTCGGTCCTGGGGCCCATCCGTCGTGGATCAAACCCCTTATCCACATCAGGCTCAGCATAGCACGCTTGGGCCTTCCTGGTCCCTCCATCAGCCTAATATTCATCATTAAGGTATTTTCATTTAAATATACTTAAAAATTAGACGTGATTGACGTGATTCACACTCTGCTGTGTGATGGACTATGATGAGAAAAAAAAAATCCTCGTGATGCAGAGTGGGATGACGTGATGGTTGTGGTACGTCACACCACACCCAATGGTGTAAGCAGGCAAATAAGACAAAAATTTCTTTTCAATTTTTTATAATGTTTTAAAACTTTTTAAAATTCTTTGTGTTTGAACTAATAAAAAAATTAAAATATGGAAAAAAGAGTCTTCTACAAAAAACAATTTTGGAACACGCCTAAAAATATCCTTAAAATTGAGATGTCCAAAAAGGATAATCATTTTTATTTTTGTATTATTTTGTTTCTTATTTTATTCATCATTTTTTAGAAGTTCTAAAAAAATTATCTTTTTTCTGGAAAAAACAAAAATTGTTAATTTGAGACGTGCCTATGCATTATATGTTAATTTTTTCAAACAAAAATAACTTTAAATTTTAAGAACATTATAAAAGTAATTGTAAAATAACCTTTATTAATAAATGAAACAAATAAAGGAAAAAATGGGGAAAAAAGAGAGAAATAAAAAATCAGCACTGGTATCCCCCATGGTTTAGAAAATTTGCATGAATGCCTCCCTTCTTCGCCGGAAAAATAACCAGAAAATGATCAGAGGGGGCATGGGTGCAGCATTTTGAAACCACAAGGACTTTAGAAATAAGTTTTGAAAACCGGAGGGGTATTGCTGCCTATTTTGCAAACCACGGGGGTACTGACGCTATTTGGCCTATTTATTTTACATTGATGGTATCATATATATCCAATCAAAAAAATTGAAACTCAAACATTATTTAAGTATAGAAAATTATTCCCTCTGTATAAAAATTTCTTTATTGTTTTGACTTGACACAAAGATTTAGAAAAATTAAAAAAATATTAAATTATTTCAATGTTTGCTCTTAATGTGATGTAATAAATTAAATAATGTAGATGAAAATTAAAAGTATAATGACCTATTTATTAAAAAAAATTACCAAAATAAAAAATGTAAAAAAAAAATTGTGGATGGTTCAAAAAGAATAATGAGAAAAAAGTTAATAGAAAGAGATAGGAGTACAAAATACAAACCAAAACAAGAACATCATTCAATAAATCCAAGTATTTATACTCAATATTTAGTATTTACATGAACAAAAAAAGATACCCGAGTTAAAAAAAGATGATTGTAACAATGCGAGTCATATTAGTACTCCGTATTTTACAGCAATACAAATAGGTAGGTGACATGTTTTTCTGTTTAAGAATAGAATAGAATTCACTGGACAAGCTCGGAGACCCACCCGACGTCAGGATTGAAGGCATCATACCGGGTCGGGAACGGGTCGGATCTCGGATCCCGACCGTCTAGCGGATTCTCCTTCCCTATCCTCTCGAACATCTTTGCCCTAACGTCCCTGCCGGACTCCACCCTCTCCATGGGAGCATCCGCCTCTTTTCCCCAATCCTCCTCCCAGATATCAAATTGGCCCGATCCGGGTCGCCCGACTGGCCGGGTCGGTGTGGCCGGCGTGCTCCAGAAGCCGGTTCGGATCCTCTGCTTCGCCGCGGGCCCCATGATCGGCGACCAGGAGGGGGGAAACGAATTGAACCTGCTCAGTTGCGATTCCTGCCGCAGGGCCGCGACGATCGGGGACGCGGGAGGCGAGTCGGGCGGCGGCGAGCCGGAATACGCCGTCCGCGGACTCAGAACCCGGAGCTGCACCGGCGCGTGGGCGAAGAAGCAGATCCGCCTGGTGCAGTTTAGCCCGTCCTTGCAAGGCTGCGTACGATAGCGGGCCGGGTGGAGCCAGCACTCGAACACGCCGTGCGCGTACTCGCACGCGTCCCCCTTCCGGCAGGCTCCCTTCTTGTAATCCGGGCACGCCGCGCCGGAGTAGTGATACTTCCGCGGGTCCCTCCGCCGCGCCTTCTCCCCGGGGTGAGCGTAGGGACACTCGGTCCAGTCGTGGGACACGCCGCGCGCGCACCACCTCACCTTGAAATCGAACATGCGGAAGTCGTCGCACGAGTGGGATCCCCCCGCCGGGAAGTCAACGTCCCTGCCGGTTTCCGATTCGACGTCGCCGTTCGAATTAGACGGCAGGTAACGAGTCAGCGCGAAGTCATCGTTGCCGTCGCCGGAGACTGGAGGGCTGAAGGAGGAATGATCGTCGAGATTCAGAGCATCTGGAAGCTGAAATTTGTCTCCGATCATCATTTTGAGGAGTTGATCATATTTCGGCGTTTGAATGGGTTATATATTAATGGCGGTTGCGATGCGGGGGGGTGGGGGGGTTGATATTTAAAATGGTGGGCGAGTGGGGTTTAACCGTTCTTGAGTGAAATTTTAATAACCATGGTTAGGTTAAATATGAACTACCCAGCTGCGTGTGGATGGATTTACTCCGAGTCGTAACTTTTTACGGGAGAAAACAAAAAAAGTTCTACCCGTGGCCTACCATTAGCCTAAAAAGAAGTTAAATTCGAGACATTATGGCATTTGGTAAGATCTCGGCAGCATCCGCCAAAAAGTAATACTCTCCTTGTTTCTATTTTTATTACATATTGATTATTTGATAAAATATTCACAACATTTGTTTTTTTAGCATACGCAGAAACTTTTATTTATTTCAACGTTTTCATTGGTTATTTGATAAAATAAAATATTCTTGACACCTCTTATTTCGAAAAATTTTTCATGCAGTTTTTTGATATGTAAATTTTATTTTTTATTTCTATACCATTATGTAAATAAAATGAATTGAAAAAACTTGATATTTTGCATCGGGAATACAAATGTGGCAAATATTTAGGGACGGAGGGAGTATATAACTAAAAAATAAAAATTACATATTAAAACACTACGTACATATTTACCTGTTTTATACATCCAGAGTTTTAGTGACAGATTTATATTTTTATACGTCTAAAGTTCTACAAAATAAGTGGTGATAAGAATATTTTATTTTATCAAATAATTAATGATAACACACAAATAAATAAAAGTTTTCGTGAGAAGATAAAAAATAAAATTGTAATCAAAATAAGGACGAAGAGAATATTAAAGTTACACTATTTTATATTCAACCAGTCACAAAAAGGATGTCGCAGTTATTCAATTCAGCTTCTCGATAACTTGTCTGTTTACTTGTTTTGGTAGACTATTTAATAAAATAAAATATTTTGCATCCTCTTGTTTTATAGAGTTTTTGATGTACTTTTGAACGATGTTATTTATTTCTTTTTATTTCTCTACCAATTTATGAATAAAATTATTTTTTAAAAAATTCTTCCCGGCCCAAATTCAATATAAAAAATATGTCACAAAGTTCGTATGGACTTTATAGACTTTAACAGGCTGTTTGGATCAAGAGAGTTCGGGGTACGACCAACGGGAGTCGCTCGAAGAGGTACGACCAACGGGAGTCGCTCGAAGAGGGGAGAGGCGGAAACACATTTTTCAAGAATATTTCTCCCATTTGGTTTGGATCCGGGAGAACAGAGAGAAAATTGGCTAAACAGAGGTGCAAAAAGTTGGAGAGAAAATCAACCAAATTACAAATATGCCCTTTTATTATCTTCTTCATAGCCACAAATCCCCGTACCAATGTTTTCACATTTTTTTTCTTTTTAAGGACAAAATTGTCTGATTTTATTACATTTTATTTCTTCTTACTTTTCTCGTCATTTTCTACACACTCATCCAAACAACAATTATTTTCTTTCCATTTTCTTATCATTTTCTTTTCCCTCTATTTTATTTCTCATCAATTTCTTTAATTTCCTTCTATTTTCTCTTATTAACCAAACCATGGCTAAGTCCGTGATAAAAACTTTCTCGTACTTGGGTCAAACTATTTTAATTCCTAACAAACATCAATTACAAATTTATATTCCTTCTTAATTTAATTTCCCAATTTTCAAATTAGAAAATTGAAATTCAAGAATCAAAGCATGAGAAGATGAAGAATGGATAGCGAGTAGGATTAGTAATGAAGGGGAAAATGAACAAAAGACTACTACCAGTTGGATTAGTTAAGAATAAATTTTCAAAATGATCCTTTCTAATAAGGTTTCTTTCTCAAATCAATTTTAAAAATTTTTAATTATCTACATGGTACTTTATAGTTGGAATTTATTTCTAGATAGTCCTCTATAGATAATGTTACTCGCATTGGAGTTTTGATATTTTCATCGTCTCAATTTAGAATAACTTCTCAAAATGATCATTTCAAATATTTTTGAACTGGGTAGAGTATTGGGTTAGATTAACTTAATCATTGGTTATTTAGTTTGTCGTATTGTTAATGAACTAGGCAGAGTATTGGATGAGATTTGGTCACTTACATATATAAAGTCTGGATTCATTTTCTATCCAAAAGCTTAAGCTAATGAGCATAGAATTTCAACTTTTTCTATATAAGAGTGTTATTTGTTTGATTTTTCCGGTGTAACATCCTTCCCATCTATTGCTTCTCATGCTTCTTCTCAAAAAAGTTGTAACATGTATGCCTAAATCCGAATTATGGCAGATCTGCGACAAAATTAAGTCCGTAGCAGATTTTCGTTAGAGTTTTGGTAGATCCTTGTAGTGGTTGTAGCATGTATGCCTAAATCCGAATTATGAGGTAGTAGATTAGGTCATTTTTGATAGATTAAAATACATAGAAGTGATAGAACATTGAAATGTAATTTACATGTTATACAATATTGGTATATTAAAATTATATCTTAAAATGTATTATTAAATTTCTATTATAACTAAATATATTTTTTTAATAGTTTGTAGTCAAAGTTTGTAAACATTGACCAATACCGTCATAATATGAAGTTTTTTAGGTCACGGAAGGAGTATTTTATATTCGATTCAAATATTTTTCAGAGATTTGTATTCAGTTTGTTATCATATTCAAAGATATTCGGTTCCTTTAAAAATTTTATTCACTAAAAAATATTCAATTTGTTTATATTATAAAATATCTTAAAGAATAATTTCAAAAAAAAATCTTAAAGAATTTGATTCATATTAAACTATTTTGTTCCAAAGCTCTTCGTATAGAAACATTTTGACGTTAGATCTTTTCTAAAAAATGATGGTAGCCTTTAGCGTTAGCATTTTCAAAATTAATTTATACTATTAAAATTTTATCCAAAACGTTAATTGAAATTGCTCTTTCAAATAAAGTCATAGTACGGAGTAATTACTAATGTAAAGTTTGGTCTAGATCTACCTAGTATTTTACTAGTATTGCGCAACAATACTCTAAATTTGAAGATCCTTGCAAACGTTGTGCTTTAGAACATATGTTTCCTTCAATCAAATTTTATTAAGGTTTGATTTGATTAAGGGGGAGTGTATTCAATAAGGAATCTGCAAAAATTTTTTGGACTTTCAAAATCTGAGGATATTCAATCTAAATTTCTAAAAATCTTTAAAAATTTCGAGGTATTCAATAAAGATTTTAAAAAATCTTAAAAAATCTTTAGGTATTTAATAGTCAATGAATTTTAATACTCCCTAGATTTTGCAGGATTGTCTTCCAAAATACTGCTTATCTCAAATTTCTTCCAAGGATATCAGATTTCCAAAGACTTTTGAACAAAGATCCAACCACCAAACCTGTTGATACCCCCGACGATCATCCATCAGGAGGCGGCGATGGGGGCGCCAGACTACCTCTTGCTCCTCCTCTTCTAGGAGGAGGTGGAGAGGGAGTGGAGCGGGGCGGAGGACGAGGTGGGGAAGGAGGCGTGCACGATGGAGGAGATGGGGTTGTGCTGGGAGATGCAGAGGGAATCGACGGGGGAGAAGAACCGGAAGGAGCAGAGGTAGAAGGCGTCAATGGCGCAGGAGGAGTAGTTGAAGGAGCGGGAGTTGAAGGCTGTGGCGGAGAAGAACTCGGCGGAGGAGCTTTCGCCGACGGAGAAGGCAGCGACGCAGTTAGTTGATTCGGATTGATTTCATTGTCCCACACCGGTTAAATGGGGAACTTGGTGGTTGGTTTATATAGTCAAGAGTTCTTCCACCTTAATAGTTAGCTTTTAGAGTATGACTCTCCCTTGTGTTGTATCAATGGTATTAGAGCCAACTCGGAGTGGAGGCCTACGAAGTGGTGGCCTGGTGAAACCAGCCGTGACCAACGTGGTCGTGACCAATGTAGCCGTGACCAACGAGGACGTTGGGCCTTATGGGGGGTCGAATAATACGGACTGATTTCATTGTTTCACATCGGTTAAATGGGGAACTTCGTGATGACTTTATATAGTTAAGGGTTCTCCCACCTTAACAACTAGCTTTTAGAGTGTAGCTCTCCCTTGTGCTGTATCATTGGTGCAGGCGGTGGAGAAGTGGCGTTGGCGGGTGGAGCATGGGGCGAGGTCGGAGCCGGCGCTGCACCTGTGAAGACATTATCTGGTTCCTTACACAGAAAGGAACAAAATCAAAGCAAAGCGACAGAGGCAACGATGGGAGGTCTATGAATTGGAGGTCTGCAATTGGAATTTTATTTTTCTTTACAGCCTGCAATTGGAGATCTACGAGCATAGCGGCAGAGGGAACCATGGGAGCAAGGGGAAGAAGGCGCAGAGGTTGATGATGATATGTTCCAATTGGGGTTTAACTAGTTGGCCAACAAAAGAGGGTGAAACCAGAGAGAATATTTATCAAAATTTTCAATAGAAATCATGTAGTCTATGAAATCTATCTTAAATCAATAAAAAAAGTTGGACAAACTCTACATAGAATCTATTGATTTTCCATATTCACTAACTTTTTAGAGTCCAAAAAAATCTAATACAATCTCAATTAAAAAAATTGCATGTAATTGAAACGAGAGTTTAAGAGTCAAAAAGAAATTAGTGCAAAGGGAAAGATGAAAGATTACATTTTGGAAAATTTACAAGGTTCCGTGGACGGCAGAATTCGAACCTGCGCGGGCAAAGCCCACATGATTTCTAGTCATACCCGATAACCACTCCGGCACGTCCACTTGTATGATCTGTTTTTGAATAGTGTACAATATAACGTTAATCTCATAAGAGTAGCGATCAACTAAACTTTGAAGTTAATTATCAAATCGTAATATAATGCTCATTTTCTTCTGTCGTTTCCAATTTTATTTACGAATGCAGATTTAACATGATAGGTATGTGAAAGTTAATAACGAAATATACAGGTAACATTTTGAAGTTAAGTTGAGATTTGTCAAAATTTCCACAAAAAATAGAACACAAATGAAACCTTTAATTTTTCTATAAGGAAATCCACCAAGAAAACATGTAGTAGAATATAATATTATTATACTAAGAGGGTGTTTGGGAGTGTGGTAAGTTATGTAAAAGTAGAAGTCATAATTTAGAAGCAGAAAACATGTATTTTTAGCTTTGCTAGAAAGCATTTCTAGACCTTAATTTTAGCTTCTAAATGCCATAATTTATAAGGTAAAGCCGATTAGCAAACATTTAAAATTATGTTTTAGTAAAGTAAATGCTATAAGTTATTTTCAAATGTAATCCCAAACACCCTCTAACACTACAATCTTCTAAGGTAGCGTTTGATAACTAGTATTTCATTTTAATTCATACATTTCAATTTCCAAATTTGAAATCTTGAACTTCAAATAACAAGAGGATGTGCATGGATTTCAAATTAAGTTTTATTATGAATGATAAGAATTTGACTCAAATTAAATCTAAATTCAAAATATTTAAGTTTCCCAAACATTAAATTCGAGCCAAATCCAAATTTAAAATCCAAATCCATGTTATCAAATTTAACATAAAGAAATTAAGCATCAAAGATTGACAAATAAATCTAACGCTATATATTTGGTTCAAGGAATTAAAATGAAAAAGAAAACAACATTAATCATCAACATTTTACTCACCAAAATGGAAGGAATTTTATCTTTTCTTGTCTTAGTTTATTTTTCCTTTTCATTTATTTCACTTTTTTATCCTCGCTAACCAAACAATAAAAATCATTTTTCATCTCTTTTTTTTCCTTTCAATTTTTTTTAAAAACTATTTCCATCAATCACAGCAACTCAAACTAAATTTTTTTTACTATATATAAGGTCAAACTTCATAAATTTTCTTTATTTTATTCATTTGGCTTTTACTTTATTTGGGCATTTGCTATGTAAAAAAACAAACAAACACCTTCAGATTCTTGATTATTTCATTGTTTTTTTGGGTTACTTTCACAATCAAAACCTTCTTGATTTTGTTTTTTTCTCAGTTTTATTCTTTTCACTGTGGTCCCACATTCAATCAAATCAAGGTAAAGTATACAAATACATACCTAGCTAGTTGAGGATAAAACTGTTAGAAACAATCTTTTATTATAATTGAAAAATTACTCAAAAACCAATTACAATAAACTCTCATATGTTTCTCATATCATAACTAACCCAAGCCTAGCTAAGATATATATTGAGATAATTAAGCCTAGAATCATAATTATATTCCTACTCGAATTAGAATATCTCGGGTAATCCTAATTCAACTCGATAATTAGCCAACAATCACCCCCTAATTTTTGAGTTGGATTGCGGGTGATCTTCTTTACCTTGACTCTCCCGAGGCTCTTCATAATCCCTTGCAGTGTTCTTTGGGCTCCACTTAGCTTGAATAAACACTTGCTCCTTGCGATCATTACATGTCCTTCCTTGGGTTAGAATCCTTTTCTTGACATCTCCTTTAAACTCTTGAACATTCTTCTTTGGACTTTGAATTTTGAGTTTCTCCATTAAACTTGGATCTTTGAGAAGATTCTGACTCGTACTTCGCGTACCTTCTTTCAGTTGATCAACACTTTATACATCCCTACTTGCAAAATTCTTCATTCCAATCATGCTAACTTGTATACTCGACTTGTTATCTTGAGATTGATCTTGTACAAACGATTTTTGGTCCTTGTCACCTACATCATAAGCTTCCCTGTGTCATCATGAATGGTTAGCAAATCACATTTCATGTGAATGTCGCATCTATCTTCCATTGTTTGACCAAGACTTATGATGTTGCTTTGTAGACTAGGTATGTAGTACACACCGGTCAACAGGCGCTACTCCCCTATTTTCCCTTCAACTAACACAAATCCCTTTCCTCGTATGTCAATACAAGATCCATCTCCAAATTTCACCTTTCCCGTGACACGTTCATTAAGTTCAAAGAAGTAAGCTTGATTACCGGTCATGCGATTCGATGCTCCATTATCGAGATACCAAATGTATTTTTCCTTTGGTTCAACCTCGAAACGCTTCAGAATCACACCTTCTTCATTTAAAAAGATATTCTCTTGATCACATATCATCATGAACAAGGATGAATCCAAAACATCAATTTCAGCTAAATTAGCTTCCTCCTGTTTCTTCATACGCTCCGGGCACACTAATGCAATGTGACTGAATTTATCACATCGAAAACACTGAACATTTGATCTATTCTTTCTACCATTCTGACGATCATTGGTTCTTCTTTGGCCCGTTCGCTTTGACCCATGCTCTTGACCATCTCGGCATTGACTTCCATCTTGGTCATCATCATCCTGCAGGTCTTGGTCTCTTCCTTGACCTTGGTTGCATTGGCTTTGTCCGCTTGGTCTCCCCTCAGCGGCTCAGACCTACGCGCGGATATCAGCGGCGGCGACCGGTGGCTCTTATCTGAGGACGACAACGACGACCTGCGCACAGCAGACAACTACAAACGACGGCGATCACATCTCTTTTAATCAACAACTATTGGTTTTTTTTCACGTTTCAGATCAAACCAGCGGGTCAGCTCCAATGCTTGGTTGTGCCCTCCGATCAAAAATTCAGCATCTATTTCCCCCTTTTTCTCTCTCGCATAACCTAACAATAACAATTTTTTTTGCTTTGGGCTCTGATACCAATTGTTAGAAACAATCTTTTATTATAACTGAAAAATTACACAAAACAAATTACAATAAACTCTCATATGTTTCTCATATCATAACCCAGGTTTGGCTAAGATATATATAAAGCTAATTAAGCCTAGGACCCATAATTCTATTCCTACTTGAACTAGAATATCTCGAATAATCCTAATCCAACTCGATAATTAGCCAACAAAAATGTCATACTCCACCGTCCCTGAAAATCTTTTCCCTTTCTTTTTTTATTTGTCACAAAAAACACTTCTTGTTTCTATTAGAAAAGTCACTTTTACCACTTAGTTTTTCATATCCAGCATATCGCATCATACCTTTTTACGAATAATCTACACATTAAATCCTACTTTTACCTATCACATCATAGGACTGTTTTGAAAATTCAATACCAAAATACACTTTTCTTAAATCTCTTAAAAACCAATAACTCTCATGTTTTTAGGACCGGAGGGAGTATTAATTCTTTTTGGATACTGAATTGAGTGATGAAATCATCACAAGTAATTAACTTGGCTTGGCTTACACTTCACTACTGCACTAAAAGTGATTAGTACTCTGTACTAGTTTGTAATTAAGTACTCCGTAGGATCTAATTAACGAGCTCTCAAAAGGAAAGGGGGTATGTGTATGTATATGCAGGTTTAAAGGGCCATTGCTCTCTGCAATTCAACAAGTTCTTCTAATCCATCATCATCTTCTTCATCCTTGTCATTCTGATGATTCCCCTTCACAAATGGCTTACAAGTCGCCGATGATGACGGTTTGCCCGCCGGTAAAACACGCAGTCGAATCGTTGCGCCGTTCTTCGCGGGTTGAAGAAGCCTCTCCTCCTCCACCTCCTCCAGTCCAGCACTTTCTAGTTCTTCAAGTTCTGCCTCCAACTCATCCTATTATTGAACACAATCATGCATCACAAAATACGGAGTAATATAACAACAATAACAACAACCATCATCAAAAAGCATAGTTTTTTTACAGTTTCATGGCCACTCTTTTGATTGACCAAGATACGGTCCCAATTAGGACACCTATAGAGCTCCATTCGAAATATTGATAGTTCATACCCATTAACTCCCAGTAAATTCCCTCATTCAGTCCCGCTTACAACTCATCCCACTACCCAAATCAATTGCGCAGTGCAAGTTTAGTTGACTTTAGGACCAAAATATTTGACCCCAAAAATCAACTAAATTTGTACCTTGCAATTGACGTTGGTAGGGGGATAGTCAGCCCCGCTTACAGCTCATCTCATTACTCAAATCAATTGCGTGATGCAAGTTTAGTTGACTTTGGGGCTAAAATATTTGACCGCAATTGACGTGGGTGGGGGGATAGATTGAGATCGGGACTGGGTGTGGGGTTTACTGGGAGGGTTAGTAAGGTAGAAACTATCAATTCTTATACACTCTGGTTCTATGGCCACTCTTTTTAGTGACTACGAAAGACATTGTCCCAATTGGGAGAGTTAGAAAGTAAAATCTCACACTCAGTCTTTGACGTGTGTAGATGGATGAACTGGAGTCGGGACTAGGTGGGGGTTTACCGGGAGAATTAGAAAGTAAGAACTATCAATTTTACCAATGTCTTCCGTGAATATTAAGACAGAGTGACTACAACCCTATTCCCATTAAATAGATTTAAAATGAGTAAGAGTAAAGGAGACCTCATCAATGTCAGATGCAACACCAAATGGAGCACCCAGAGCTTCCTGCATCAGCCTTGTGTTCTCCGTCTGTTCATTTATTTCCTCCATCGTCTTGTCCACATTTTTCACATTCCTTCCCTCATCATAAATATGTAATTAATTTTATATATATATATATATATATATATATATATATATATACACACACATATATATACCAAGTATTGACAATATATTATGAACTCCATATATTTTAGTATTGTGTTTCAAAATAAAAGTCTTACAAAGTTCTCTGGATAGATCGCATTTCAGCAGCACCGGTTTTGAGAGCCTCGACCGTTTGAGAAGTCGCTTTTGCTCCTTCTAACATTATCATCTGAAACCAAACCAATTGATTAAATACACTCTCTCCATCCTACAACTATTATTATTATTATTATTTGTTTTCTTGGTCGAACTCTGATACTCTTTTACTACGCTCAGGGTGGGCCAAGGTGCTCTACTGGCCCAAGTCTATTTCTTCTATCACTTCATATTTTTAATTTTTGAATATATACGGAGTACTATATTTTTTAATGGTATGTTTGGAAATATGAATTCATATTCCAAATTTAGATTTTACTCAAATTGTATGTGTTGAGAAAGCTTGAAAATTTTGAATTTGGATTTGAGTCAAATTCTTTTCATTCATAACAAAGTTTAATTTGAAATTCATGCACCTCCCCTCGTTAGTTGAAATTCAGAATTTCGAATTTTAATTAGAATTGAAGTGAAATGCTACTTACCAAACACTACCTAAAACAATTTAAAAAGTTAATGACTTTTTAAGGTACGCATTACGATTTTTAATGATATAATATTATAAACTTGTTATGTGTATTACTATTATATCAATTATTGTTTTTTAAAAAAACAATTTCTTTAATTTAATTTGTTAGGGTCAATGCCCTTTTTCTATCTCTCTCGGAACTGGCCCTGTTTACCATACATTAAGAATAAAAATATTTTGTGATAACAAAAATTTAATATAATTGAGTTTTACTCCGTAGTATATCAAATTTTTATAAATTTATTTATTTGAAAATATATTCAATTGGTGGCACAGGGCTTGTTTGGAAATAACGTTAGAGATTAGCATTTTGAAAAGGCTATCTACGGGCAACTTTTAGCGTTAGTATTTTCAAAATAATCTGCACCGTTAAAATTTTATTCAAAACGCTAATGCTATTCTCATACAGGCCCATAATTTGACTAAAATAGTCAAACTGCAACAATAATGACAATTGAAAAACTCATCTAGGGTTTAGACTCTGAAACTATGTAGAATTGTTTTTAAATCAAGCTAATTTCATTAATCATAAACAAGGTATAAATGCAGCATAGAGACATATCCTAATCTCACTCCAATTATGGAGAATAAATCAATAATACGAACTGATTTATATAAACCCCCAGCTAGCATGCTTTGCTTATTATCACTTTAAAAATAATTAAAGTAAATGAGAAATATTTTTTGAATGTTCATAAAAGAAAATTAATTTTTTTTAATACAGAAAAATAAATAATTATTTGCTTGAAATATTTTTAGAAACAGAAGAAGAATGAAGAAAGTATTTACTTGTTATGGTGCAAATTAAGAATATAATATAATTATTACCTAAAAAAGGACATTAGTATATGACAAACCTGATCGTGGATGCGCAACTGAAAATTACCAAGCTGCTCAATTTGATGCTCAAACAACTTCTTCCTTTTCAAGCATTGTATAGCCGCTGCATATCATGACGATCAAAATAATATTTGTATTTCCAATATAATCAAAGTAAATAATTATCCTTTGCAAAAAAAAAAGAAAATAATTATCAACTTCTTCCACATTTCTTATAATTTTCTTTTTTATCTAATCCGAAATAAATACCAATATTATTATTATTGTTACCTATTTCTTTTTCTACTAATTCTAAATTAAAGTGTAATATGTATAAATCTCAAGTATACAATTTCTTAAGTTCAATCACATAGTAGACCTTCCTATCAACTCATACTTTTTGGTAATAATATTTCCATCATATCTGATTTTAGCTAATCACATCAAAGATATATTTCTAAAAAATCAATATAAAAATATATCTTTCTTAAATTTTTTAAAAATCAAAATGAGAAGGACTTTATGGGACGGAAGTAGTAATGATGATATGTAGCATGATGAACACACCTTTTTTGTTCTTAGTTCTTGTGAATTCTTTGGCCTTCTCCATTTCTTCAGAGGCCTTCCTTTGAAGAACCCTCTCCTTCTTCTCAAGCATCGCCAACGTCTTAACACGTGATCGAATTAAAGAACCAAAAAATACAAATATTAATAAATACCCCAAAAAAATAAATTAAACGAAACAAACCAAAAGAAATCTGTATACATACAAAGCATCATTAAAGTCATTAAGCTTTGAATTTTGATATAATTAAGCATATAGTGATTAAAAAAAGAATATATGTATAGTATTACCTCTGTTAATTTGTGTAGGGTTTTAAAGCCGGCTTTTGATTCATGCTTAGACTTATTATTCCCGAAAATCCGTGAAAACATTCTTCTTCTTCTACAAAGAATTCAAGGCTTTCTTTTTAATCATATACGAGTGCCTGCTAGGCATTATTATAATTAATAAATTATAAGTTCACTATTGGAATTTATAATTAGGATTATATATATATACACACAATCATCACAGGAATAAGACTCATTATTAGTAGGATCGATAGAGTAATTTATAATTTTATATATATATATATATGAAATATTTGCACTAAATATATATGGATGATTCTACAAACAAGTTATAATTAAAGGTTTTTGGGATGGAGGGGGTAATTTAGTAGGACTCTACTTACAATAACTAATCTGTAATAATTATAAACCGCCTAAAGTACGATAGATTTAATTAGGTCTTGTAACTAAGAAAGTATTCCTATCTCTTTCGAACTACCTATAACACATCACCCCGTCAGAAAATTTATACATACATTTTTTTTTGTAACTTATACACATAAATTATTGTACAGTATTAGCGTATTGAAATTGTATTATTTTGAGTACGTTATTTTTTTCGTATTTATGAAGACGGCATTCTTTTAGGTTTCATTTGGTACACGGGATTCAAATTATAGAATTGGAATGGAGGACAATAATTCCAATTTTGTTGTTTCGTATCACAAAAGTATGTGGATATAGAATTGGTAGTGTCAAAAATGTATCGGAATTGGAGAATTAAAATTCATCCAAATCAATTACATAGAATTTCAACTCCCAATTCGATCAATTCTAATATAATTTCATCAATTCTGTGTATTACACACACCATTAGGTTAAATTATTTTGAACTTAACCGAGCTAAATAAAACTCATAATTTTCACTACAAAGTACAAAATGATGAAGAATTGAAGTTATTAAATTATTAACTTGAAAAAAAATGAACTCTTACCCTATGGTATATATTTGGGAACTTGGATTTGGTTTGAAATCAAAGATTTAGCTCAAATTTCATGTTTTAAATCGTTAAAAAAATTAGATTTGGATTTAAGCTACGTTTTTCTAATTCATAACAAAACTGAATTGGAAATCTATATCTCCACTTGTCATTTGAAATTCAAACATCCAAATTTTAAACTTGAAATTAAATGTTAATAAATTTTATTTATTGAGAATTACTTTGGAAAAAACCTTATAAGAAAGGATCATTTTGAGATTATACTCAAAATATTTTGTCAGGTGAAAAAGACAGTTTATAGAATAATTCTCAAAAATTGAAGATTGTTTATAGAATAACTTATAAATGGAGACTAAATATAAAAAATTACTTATAATTAGAGACCATTTATAGAATTACTCTTTGAATTACTAGAAACAATTCAAATTAACATATAAAGTAGCAGTGTTAGATCAAGATGCATAAATTAGATGAAGGTGTGACAGTGGGTATTATCTCTCAAAGAAATGTGAGCTCATGCTAGAGGAACATCAAAATAGTGTACCTCATTTGTACACCAAACAAAAACAAAGAATGATCTATAGATCACAGGCAAAGAGTGTATGTGCTATAGTCTCAAGGGCGGAGGAGAGGGGGGGCCGTGCACCCCCCTCCAGCGAATGTCCGGCGAAGTACCAGCGACGAAGAAGCGCCAGTCGTGCCCCCAGATGTCCGCCACTCCGTTGTTCTGTTGAGGAAAATGAGTTGCAGCTTTTTTTTAGTAGGTGTTTTAAAAATAATAAAGTTAAAAGATACTTAGTGAAACTACGCCGTACTCTTAGGGAAAAAAAGCCTTAGTGAATCGTAATAGAGTAATTTGTTTTCAATGCTCTTAATTTTAATGCTTTAGTTCATACGAAGTAAATTATTGTTGATTTTTTGTTTCTATGTGAAGAAATGTAAGTTTATTTTTTACGAAGTAATAGAGTAATTTGATTTTTCCCCTTATTTTAAGAGATTATTGTTGAATACCCATTTTAAAAAAGAGATTATTTTTATTACGCATACTAATTATAATGCCATTTAATTATAATGCCAGATCAAAAACAGATTTAATTATAACTGCAATCGGATCAGACCAGATCAAATCAGACCAAGTCTTCAAAAATCAGATCATATCAGCCGAACGGAACGCAACCTTAATTTGTTTAGAACTTTCAAAATTTTATTTGATTTTATTAATATGCAATACAAATTGAGAATAATTGAAGATTAAAGTTTATTCAGTTTAACTCGAAAAAGTTAAAGTAAACGAATACTCTAGGACGGATGAAGTATTTGAATATTTGAGAAAATTTACTAATTTTTTGACATTTCTATTGTGTTCTTAATAATAAAAAATCCGGGGGCGCTACCCTCGGACCCCCGTAATGTGCCCCCCCCCCCACTCGTGGCCTCCTGGCTCCGCCACTGGCTAGTCTAGTATACAAATGAGGTACACCATTAGCCTTATTGTTTTTAATATGTTACTAACCTTATAGAATACAATATTATAAAGTTTGTTCATATTTTTGAACTTAATACCACATAATGAACCAATGTTTAAGTGGAAATCAAACTAGAGGGAACTTCCCTACACATTTTGGTGATACACTTCCTGTTATCCAATCCAAGAGAGAAACTCGTTGAAACTCCAACCATAATCGACCAAATTGTGTTATATAAAAATTTATCCTACAAAATTTGTTACTTTGTATGTTAATCTATTTAGGCAATTTTGATCTCGTTCGGAGTTGACTATGTGCTACTTTTGGATGCTGTCAAGCCAATTTCTCCACCCTTCGTTCCAGTAAGTTTTGCACAAGCGTTTAACAAAGACAAAGACATATGTGTGAAATCAAACTCGAGTGTTAACTCCTAAGCACCTTTCAACTCGGCATAGCTACACTTTCTCGAGCTTTTGGAATCCTTTTGCGTAATTGTAATAAAAGTCGTGCTACACAATTTATTGCGGTCATCCGTCTATTGACAACAACAATACAACTATGATTCATCAAAATACTTGGATATTATGCAAGTGAAGAAGGTGAGGGAAGGGAAAGGGGAACAAATGCATTGTCTAACTAAACATCAATTTGTCTCTGAACATATTGATGAGTTTATATGAGCTACCAAATGGAGAATTCATGAGTTAATATGACATTTTTTAGTCATGATCAACAATCATGTAGAAGTAGATAAACGAAATCGAATTGCAAAAGTCTACTTCGAATCCCAAACACAAAATACATGAAATAGAAGATGATCTCAACACAGAAACCACATTCTTCAGCAAAACAAAATTTAAGATCCAAAGAACATTTATATAAATTGCAGATTTCTACTAATGAAATTCTACATTTCTTCAATCACTTCTCGGATGAGTTCGGCCCCCTCTTCTTACCAAAGCCAACAACTGTTTAATCCAGATAACCGAAACACAAATTTCAAAAAATAAATAGATATTAGAGCAGATTGAAAATAATCGGGAAGAGAAAGTAAAGAGAGCGCCGATAACTTACCGGCGGTGACGAAGCGGCGGTTGTATTGCATCCGCTTGTGAGCACGGCCGCGGGGCTTCTTCTTCTTGTCTTGCTTGGCGACTTTAGGAGTCTGGCCCCTCACCTTTCCGGCACGAGCTAAGGATCCGTGAACCTTACCTGAATTAAATCGGGAAAATCAAAGTAAGAAATGAAGAAATTGAACTCCATTGATGATTCAACGTATTCAACGTAAGCTAACCCATTGCGGATTCTGAACTCTCCCGTCGCCGATCGAGATGGGTTCGGACGCTTATGCAGAAACGAAGACGATAGACCCTTGGATTTGGGGTTAGGGTTTCGCAGATTATTTATATTCATTTTTATTGGGTCATTTACGGGCCCTTTGGTTATAATTGGAGAACATCGGGCCGTTTGGATATAACCAGAATGTTTTGGGCTCTATACCGCTACATTTACTTCGTCCATAAAAGTATGTGTACCTTTTTTTGAAGGGTGTTTACCTTAGTTATACTCCCTCCGTTTGCAAAAAGACTTCCCATTTTGATTTGAGGGCAAAAATAAGAGAGTATTAAATTATAGTTGATTTCCAATTTTACCCCTGATGTGATGGGTAAAAGTAAGATGTGATGGATAGATTATTAGAGAAAAAGTATGATGTGATAGGTAGAGTATGAAAAAGTAAGGATAAAAGTGATTTTTTAAACAAAAGAGGAAGTGTTTTGTTGGAAGTGGAAAAAATGAAAGAGGAAGTGTTTTTGAGAACGGAAGGAGTATTTGTGTTATTTGCATAAAAGAAGTATCACCTCTTGTTGGCTACACGAATACATTTTGAAGTACAGTTTCTTATCACTAACTCTGTTCATTAAAATCAATTATATGACAAATTTTGTGATTCCCTTGTTATATTTTATATTACAAAAATACTTATATCTTTCTGCGAGACTATCCAACATGCTAAATTAAATGAAGGTAGCCATGAAGCAAGAAATGAAAAGTAATCACATTTGAGACATTGCAGATCTTCCTCGTAGTCTTTGAAATATCAATGGTTCACATAATCAGCCAAATAAAGTTTGTCGTTTAAGAAAGTCCTTTTATTGTATGTGACATTCACCTCTTAATTGGTTCACTAAGCTCACCATTGCTCTTAGGACCACCATTTGTTTTAATTTTTGAAGTGGACATAATATTATAGTAATTTTGGGTTATGTTGATGACATTTTTATTGCGATTAATAACACCACTCTACTTAATTCATTTTAAAAAACATTTGAACAACTACTTTCATTTAAAATATTTCGGTCCTTTGAAATATTTTCTTTGGATTGAGTGTGCACGATATTCTTTTGATATGGTGCTATGCCAACACAAGTTCGTATTGGATATCGTGCATGAAGCTTGTTTGTTGGGGTGTAATTCAGCCGATACTCTTATTCTATTAGTTGAATCATGGATTGGCACG